CATATCCATTTTTACACCTCTTTTTATTCCTTCTATCGCATGCCAAGGTATGGCCCATAATGGAACTTTAAAATCACTTTTATAATATTTTCTCCAAGTCCTAAGTAAAGAGATTCTTAAAATATGAGATTTAAAGACCCAATCCATTTTTTTATTAAATATTAAATAGGCATGCCACCCATAAAGTAAATCCCATCCCTCTAAATGAAGTATCTCAGGATTTGTCAAATTTACCCAATCACTAATTAGTGTTAAAACCACCGCATCGTAATATAATTTCAAATTTGGTACCTTGAGTCCACCCCTCTCACGGAAGTCTTGCATAATTTTAAACTTAACCCTTGGCTTTTTCCCTGCCCAAATAAATTTATTAAGACCCTTCTGCCACTCACTTAAGTTAATCTCATTTTTCAAAATCGGTAACATTTGAAACAAAAAAAGAAACTTGGGTAGAATATTCATTTTTATCACTGCAATTCTTCCCATGAGGGATAATTGCAACTTCTCCCAATTCTTCAAGTCCTTCTGTACCCTGACCCACAACCTTTCATAATTATTTTTAAATAATTTTACATTAGAAACAGACAACATCACCCCCAAATATTTTACCTTATTAACAATCTCAAAACCCGTCAAGTTAGCCAAAATCTGCTTCTCCTGACTAGACATATTTTTAGGTAAGATTTTAGTCTTATTTACATTAATCTTGAAACCCGAAACCAAACCATAATGATGAATCAACTGTAATAAGTTTACTACAGAGTGATCAGGTTGCGACAAAGTAACAACCAAGTCGTCCGCAAAAGCTCTCAACTTATATTCTTTTTTGTTAACTTCTATTCCTTTAATTTCCTGAGACTCTCGAATTTTAATCAATAATATTTCCAATGTTAAAACAAACAACAATGGCGATAAAGGGCACCCCTGTCTAGTACCTTTCTCTATTGTAAAAACCTCCGACAAACCTCCATTAACAATAAGTTGTGCCGTTTGTTTTTGATATATTACCAACACCACGCATAAATGCTTTACTTGCATCCCATACCATTGACATTGAAGTCCCCTTATACATATTCAAAGCAAAATAGTCCTTTAAACACTCCTTTAACTTTTGAACATTCTTCTCTTGTCTAAACAAATTTTCATTAACTCTCCAGGATCTCCTTTCCTCTTTCTCTTGAGTCAGCTCCATCCAAACTGGGCTATGATCCGTCAGTGATCTAGGAAAAATCTTTACATTCTTTACTTTATTATACAAATCCGTAGTAATCAAAAAAAAGTCAATTCTTGAAAAAGATTGGTGTCTATCAGAAAAAAAAGTGAAATCCCTCTCCTCTTGATTACATTCCCGCCAATAATCCCTTAATTCCCAGTCTTCCTTCATATCAAAAAAAGCTTTAGGTAGCCTTGCTTGTTTAAGAAAAGGAGAGGAACCTTTCTTGTCCCTTTGTATATCTAAGACACCATTCCAATCACCCATTAATACCACTGATCTATAGTCAAGCAATGTTATTTTTTGATGTAACTGCTTATAAAATTGTTCCTGTTGTTGATTTGGAGCATAAAGTCCCACTATGAGTACTTTCTTACCATATATACCAAGTTCAATCATCACATATCTCCCCTGGGGATCTGATTCTACCAGACAAGCTGGTAGGTTTTGTTTAACATATATAACAACTCCCCCTTTCTTCCCGGGAGCAGAAGATATAAAATGAGATCCCAAACGAGCATTAACTAAGTATTTCTGATCTTTAAGTAAAATATGAGTTTCCTGTAAGCAAATAACATCATTGGTATGTTGCTTCAAATAATAAAAGATTTTTTTCCGTTTCTGAGGAGAATTCAATCCATTAACATTCCAGGTCAAAAACTTTGCCATCTCCCTTAGCACGCAGCCTGGAGAAGACACCATCAAGATCTGAAAGAGCTGCATGTGTTGCGTAACTCTTGGGTCTTGCTCCTCCCACCGGCGGTGATACATTTCCAGAAGAATTCTCTTTGGGCTCTTTTTTACGTTGCTCCTTCTCTTTACGCTTATAAGCTGCATGAGTCATCCTCTGCTCTTTAACCTCCATCTGGCGTTGCCTTTCAGCTTGTATCATTCCAGCGGAAACCAAACCTAGTGCCTCAGATTGCTGGTCGACTTCCTTGCCACTCGGAGATTTCTGACCAGATGGAGTTGAGCCTGCACCCAGGACCGAAGTATAAAACTCTCTAGCTTTGTCAACTGTATTCAGTCTGTAGCGTGTCCCCGCATGGCTCAAGACAATACCCATCGGAATTTCCCATCTAAATGGCATCAATCTAGCTTTAAGCTCATTGGTTAAAAAAGCAAAGTCCTTCCTGCTTCTTAAAATTTTGGATGGGATTTCCTTTAGAATGATAACATCTTGGGCAGCAATCTGAAATCTTTTGTTGTAAAAAGCTTGTATAATCTCATTCCGCAGGGACTTCTTTGTAAAATAAATCACCACATCTCTAGGCAAATTCTTCTGCTTAGCAATCCAGGAGTTGAGTCTATAAATTTTTTCCACTTCTCTATGTAATTCTCCTTTATCCTTTATCCATATCCAAGGCCACCGCCAGATCAGTAAGGACCACCTCCACCAAATCTTGATTCATTTCTTCCTTGAGGCCTCTAATCCTCAAGGCATACTCCATCTGTCTGTACTGAAACATCAAGATATCTTCTTGTGAGGACTCCACCTTCCTTTCCACGTCTTGAATTTTATCATCAAAAGAATCAACTTTGTTTTCCACTTCCTCAAGCCTTGCATCGAGCTTAACCACCACATTAGCCAAACCTGAAACTGCTGCAAGTATGTCTTGTCGCAAATCATTATTATTTTCTTCCAATTTAGTCTTTATCCCCGTTATCTCTTCTTTAAGATCAGATTTAATTTCTGATTTAATCTGTGAGGCAAATTGCTTCATTTCCTCTCTCATTTGGACTACAATCTCTCCCATTATGCCTCTAACCTCTTGTGCTGAAAGTCCAGGCAAAGGGGGAGAGGGTGGTGGCTGAGCCGGTGGTACATGTTTAGATTGTTGTTGTAATTGTGCAGTAGAAGTTATAGGAGAAGAAACAACCTTGGGTATTGAAGAAGGCTGCTGCCTCTTTGAAGCCATTTTAAAAGGCACAGTTCTCACTTCCCTTTCCCCTCCACACAAGAAGGGAGGAGGAAAGAAAGAAAAAAAAAGAATTTAAAAAGAGACAAACTATAGTCCTTGAAAATCCAGAGAAAATCCAAAGAATAAAAGATAAAAGAGCAAACAATTCAAAAAAAGAAAAAAAAAAGTTCTATACCAAAAACAAAAGCAAAATCCAGTCCTTAAAAAGGGAAAGTAAAACAAAAGGGAAAGGAAAAAAAACTCCGACACTTTCAAAACACCATCTTAAATCCTTTCACTAATATAACAAAGAAAAGGAGGAAAAATAATCAAAATCAAATAATAAAAAAAAATAAACACCTAAATTATATAACAAAAATCCTTTAAACTGCTCTGTCCATTTAAAAGTTACTCACCAAAATACTATAAACACGGAGATAGAAGCGGCGGTTTCTTTTGCTTCCTAGGAAGCAAAAACAGCTGGGAGGCGGAGATCAGCAGGAGCTCCGAGGGAACACTTCTTTCACCCCCTCTAGAAATAAATCCAGAGGGGATTCAGGGGTTCTACCTCTATTCCTGCGTTCTCTGTCCCTTCCCTTTGCCCAGGAAGGGAATTCCGAGCCGCGGGCCAGCTGATGCACGCTGTGCTCCGCGGCTCTAACACTTCCCCAGCTGGACGGCTAGAAGATAGCCGCCATCGCCGTCGCCTCGTACCGGAAGCTCTCAAGTTACTGAATGTTATCATCCAGTCTTGGGAAAGCCACAGAATAGAAACATGCAGTTCTGTTTGATTTGCTTCATCAGTTCAGTAGCTTGATTTGTTGGTTCAAAAGAAATGTAATTTTTATACCAAGATTTTATTGATTTCCATAAATAGGGTACAAATGTTCCATTCAAAGGATAAGAGAAACAAAAGATGAGAGGAAGAAAACTAGAGCAAAACATAAGAACTAGTGTTTCACATTAAACTGTACTTATATGTGATACATCTGCTATAAATGATGCTGCCATTAAGATTGTGAAATTCCTGATCATGTCTCTCTTGTCTTCTCTGGAGCCTATTCAGCTTGCTTTCCTATTCCCTTTCTCCCTTTTACTCTTGGAGGATGAGATGACATAGAAACCAGGTGCAGCCAAAAATGAGATAAGGATGTAATCCAAGTATCTTATCTGTATCTCAGTTCTATGTATAAAAAATCAAGAAGGCATCTGCCTGATCTGACCTAATGAGAAGCTATTGGCCCCACAAGATAGCCCAGACAAGAAACACAATGAGGAATACTAGCTCTATCTTTATTGTAATCATACATTAACAGAATCTTACAAGAAAGTATTTCTTCCCTCCTTTCCTTTTAACTGCCCAGAAAACTAGGGAGGGTCCATTCTGAAATGTTTCCCATGCCCTCTCTCCTGTTATAAACTCAGATAACTTTTGTCCAGTCTGCAGTTCTCCTTCCCTCCTGTCTCACAGTCTAAAGTGAAACTTTCTTGATATTACTGGTTTTTTTTAAAAAAAACAAAAACTTATATCTGTTCCAAACAATGATAGAAAGCAGTACAGAATATTAATGGAAGTCATTGTCCTTTTATATTCCAATATCTTTCTAAGCTATACTTGGCAGCTCTTCTGACAAATCATTCTGTTCCTGTATACAGTAGAGAACCTTGAGTTGGTTGTCAATTAGGCAATCTTACAAATTCAGTAAATAAATAAACATCACCGAATCAAATATTCCCAAAAGAGTTTAATCATGAGTACGTGAAAGTCTGCATTCACCATGATAATGTGAATTCAGGCTTAGCTTTAGAAGCTGCTTGAGGAAAGGCTGGGAGAAATGGTAAGTGAATGGAGGAGGCTTCTACTCACTTGTGCATTTGCTTTTCAGGACAGACCATTTCTGAATATTCAACAAAAAAAAAATCTCTTCTATAAGGTATTCTAGCCTTCTCCAAATCTTCAGAAACTATTGGAATATGGAAAGTAGTACATAATTTATGGAGAACAGCAAACATCTTCAAAGAAAACATTTTACCTGCCACAAGACTTTACTTCAAGCAAACTACTTTACAAGAGAAGCAGCTTTAATTTACCATACAGATCATATTACACAATTTTTTGTGGGAGGAAGATGTGCTTTGCTAAACTTTGCCCAACTTTTCAGCCTCTTAGTTAAAAAGCAAAGTAGGAAGAGCAGTTTTGAACTGAGAAACAAGCAGAGAAATGAAGAGTAAGGAATGCTGTTTCTTGTGCTCCCTTCCCTTTCTCTGTCCAGTGAAAGACTCCAGGGAATTCCCGGGATTAGCATTTCACCTCCAGACACTTCAGCCAACATGAAAAGAGAAAGTAAGTAAGGAAGGAACTTGGCCACAATCCTGTGGAAAACAAGAACATGATATTGCTAATGCTTATTTTAAGGACACTGCATATTTTTCTATTACTTGTTGCCACAATGAAGCAACTTGAGTGAAGCAATTTCTGTAAGTGATTAAGGAAGGTACTTAAGATGAACGATGCTTCCTAAGTGTGAAAGAGTAGGCTGCTTTGAAAAACTGCAGGTACAACCTTGAACTAAGGAGAAACCTCCTGACAGAACAATTAACCAGTGGAACAACCTGCCTCCAGAAGCAGTGAATGCTCCAACACTGGAAGTTTTTAAGAAGAAACTGGACAGCCATTTGTCCAAAATGGTATAGGGTTTCCTGCCTGAGCAGGGGGTTGGACTAGATGACCTCCAAGGTCCCTTCCAACTTCATTATTATTATTATTATTATCATTCATCGCACAGTCAGCCAGATGTTCAGACTGGATTTGGCATTTTGTCTACCTATCGAGTCCTTACCCAGGACCTGGGATAGGTTGTTGTTATTATTATTATTATTATTATTATTATTATTATTATTATTGACACAAGTGTGGGAAGAGATGGGGGGAGTATGGAGGAAACATATGATTTGGAAGCTCTGCATCCTCAGCAAACTGAGTAAAGCAGCCAAATAAAAGATGTTTCTCTTTCAAAGAGCGTGAATGGTCCAAAAGAAAAAAAATATAGAGCTACAGCAAAGAAAAGTCAAGTATAAAAGCACAATGCTGGAAATTGTAAGCACGCTCCATGCTGGCCAATGATAGAGAAGAAAAAAGCAGAAGAAATTCCAGAGAGAGGAATCAAGGCAGAGCAGTGTTTATACAAAGAAAACATTATTCCATAATAGCATCACTTGTAGTATGTAGTGTAGTAATACTAGGCGAATAATACTTGTAATTGTTACATATATTAGTGTAATGATATAAAAATAATAATAATAGACTATAGAATTGAGGCAATAGAAAACACGTATAGTTTTGTATGTTTTACATTTCATTTTTATATTTTGGTTGTTTCCCAACCCTTAGAGGGAGATTTATATTCAGTGTTTTTGTGGCTCAGGAGAGATATCCCTGTTTATAAAACATATTATAAGCTGGGCCAATTTGTATTTGGAATCAGCTAATTATTTGATATCATAATTCCAAACTAAATCTTCACATTTCTGTATTTGCATAAGATGGCACCATATATTTTCGGTATTTGCATAGAGATGGCACCATATATTTTCAGCATTTCATAGTTTCCCCTTTTCTGATTCTTACTTTAAGAGATCTCAGTTTTAAATATGGTGCATATGTGGTGAATGGGAAACAAACAGAATGTTGAAAGGCATAAATCACAGTTTATTCTTATGCCTTCCTTTCAACATTAAAAAATGTGAATTGCATTTTTTGAAGATCAGAATATATTTGTAATTGGACCTAGCCATAGAAAATATGCTTGCATATGTTTGCTTGATTTGCTTATTTCAGATACATTACAAAAATCAGTATCTAAAATGGGATTAACATATACTTCATAGATTTATCGTGGGTAATCATGATAACTATTATAAATGTCATTACAAATTACAAGAATCAGTGAAACAGTCTTTTGGAAGTCAATAAGCTTTTTTATTTACTAAAAGCAATTTTGGAAATTCTGGGCAGCAAAATAATAATATATAATGATATATACTCCATGATAGTGATTCCTAAATTTTGAGGAATGGTTGGCTATAGGCATGCACAACTAAAGATACTATTAATATTTTAGTAAAAGTCTGTAATTCAGGCTTCCCCAGTGCTTGAAAACAAATCAGATACTCTATTTAGTTATGGGATGACCCAGTTTTTCTGTTTCAAAGGTCAGCAGTACCCAGTAGAACAATAAAGACATTGTGTATGTCATGAGATCATTGCGGAAATAATGCAAATGACATAATTTCTGTTTTTGTGTGCTAATGTGTTAAACATGTGATATCAATTCTCTGTAGATGCCCATGATAGAAGTAACACTCTTATTAATCCAAATTTGACCTGACCTTTAAAGAATTGATAAGCTTTTGACATTTGCCATAGGGAAAATTGGATGGAAAGAGATGTAATAAATGAAAAAAAAATGTGGGTAAACTACTGCTGTGACTCTTTCACTTTCCATTACTAGATGAAGCAATAGAGATATAGCCATGGACAGAGTTTACTACAATTACAGCAGACTTCCATAAATATTTCCATTGAAAACTGGCCTGGAACAGGTATACGATGATACAAGATCTAAATGATCACAGATGAGACAATTTGCATTCTTCATGATTGTTGTTGTTGTTTTCATGGTGCTTGGTGGTTGCTTAATTATAGTTTTTATTTGACTTCTGTTATCCCTTACCGTAAACATTTTATTGAATCCTAGATTATAATTATCATATGTTGCCATTGCTGACTTCAGAGAGTCTGATTCAATTAACACAGTATACATATTTGAAAAGTAAGTAAAAATGTTTGATTTAGTGTGTGAATCTAAAAAAATCATTTAGAAAGAATTCTAGCAATTGTTACATATCAAATGTGAGTTCTAATTATAATACAATAATGTTCAAATCCTTTCTTCTCTTTCTTCTGTTCATTCTGTATAAAAGGCTAGAAATATGAGGTACTATTTCCAACTCCTCCTTGTTTTTCAATGGGCAAATCCAGTATGCTTGTTTATGGCACATGACACCTACTTTTCATACTGATACCCTTCAGATTTGTCAGATCCCCCTTCAACATAGATAAGAATGATGAGTATTACACTATAATATCTCTGGAGATCTTTAACTCCAACATTTCCTTCTAGTAATTTTAGAAGTTGGAATAGAATTTTTCTCCTTCTTGATTCAGGTTTATTCTATGTCAGTGTTTCTCAACCTTGACAATTTTAAGGCATGTGAACTTCAACTCCCAGAATTCCACAGCCAGCATTGCTGGCTGTAGAATTCTGGGAATTGAAGTCCACATGCCTTAAAATTGTCAAGGTTGAGAAACACTGTTCTATGTGATAGGTATTGCTATTTGATGCTGGATCATATGCTTTGTGTAGAGAAAGTCTGCTTGCTAAAGCATTGAATTTTTGTTGGGGGTAACCCCACTACTGTATTTATCCCTATCCTTATCCCAACCCCATTCCCTAACCCCATCTAATATCCATACTGACCGTATCCCTTCCCTATCCTTATAAAACTTAATAAAACATTTATTTAAAAAATGGATTTTATAATAGCAAGAATGAAAATGAAGGACACTGGATGGACAGGCACCATGGACAGGCACCATGGAATAAATAAATCAAAAATATCCCCAACATGCTAAACCAGAACTTGGAAGTAAATATGCAGTGTACTGTCACATTGGATTAAATTTTTAAAATCATTTTGTTTTAGTAGGAATGTCTATGAGTATTGAGAAGCCAATAAAACCCTCTATTCTCTACTAAAAAAATAATTACAAAAAGAACTATTTGGATAAGATACATCCAAAGAGAAAAGTCCACTTGAGAAAGTTACAACATATAAAAAATATATATTAAGGGTAGTTGAATTTTAAAATGTGCTTAGGTGTAGTTCCATTTATTTCTAGTTTATTTCTAATTTATAGTGACTTCTCAGAATTAATCTCCAGTGCTGCTACTAATATAATAATTGTGTGTTGCTTTTTTCCCTCTTTTTCAGAGTTCCAAAGACTTGGAAAGGCCTGGATATTAATGGACACAGATACAATCCTTACAACATTCTACTTCTAAACATACAGTTTTCATTTACAACCTTTGTCTAAATTAAAATCCTACTGCTCGGTTCTAATTCTATATCTTAAATCTTTGTCTCCATCTTGACAACCAAAAGTCTGTAAATATTGTTCCCTTGAAAAATTAGTTCTGGACCTTTGAACGTTATTGCATTCTAATAAAGCTATTGTACTGTATCGCTTGCCTTGGGTTTCTTGTTAAATTAAGACTAACTCACTTTAATGAGTTTCTTTTTATTTTTAAGTTGAAAAATTGCACAGTTTGGATTTGGGATTGTTTTAGGTTTTTCATCGAATATGGTCGTCCTTTTCATCTAATGCAACACGTGCAAGAACTTTCAAAATTCAGAAATCAAACAATTCATATCTGTCTGAACAATTCATTATTCTTCTTTTTCCTCCTCTTCCAGATTTTTTTGAGATCCATGACAGAAGGTCAGATCTCACTGACCCTATAATGTAGAGGTTCTCCCATGAAGAGTTGTGCATGTAGATTTAAATTTTAGAGTAAGAAACAGAGTTTCTGCAATTGTGAATACAAAACACAAAAATCCCCTATTACCAAACTGTCTGGTTATTTATATTTGTTGGACTGTTGGTTTGAGTTCTGAACTTGGCTGCTGAGCTACTAATATTCAAACGTATTTATTTATAGTTGTAAATGACCTTTGATCTAAGATGACACTGGGAGTAAATAAAACCAAGGTATGACCCCCCTTTAAATGTTGTAGAATAGAATATGATTAATAATTAAAATAAACAGCCCTGTCTGCAGGGGAGGTAAGGAAAGGTCAGAGGGATATATAAGCATACTTCTTCCACAGTATGATAGCAGAAGTCCCGTAACTTTTCTATATGCATCAAATAATTGCCTGTATATCCTGAACAGTGGGGGTTGAGCTACGATGCTGTTTTTGTCAGAATGATGAAAGCAGTGAAAGCTGCAGATACTACTGAAAATAAAGAATGAGTAAAATGATAATCTTTAGAAGTTGCTTTATTTTGTCAAGACCTCTTTGAATATTTTTCATTAAAAAAATAAGGGAAAATCGGATGTTCTTTCACATCTGGGACCCAATATTGAAGTATTCAGGACTGAACCTCTGAGAAAACATCTAAGTGAAGATCCAGAGTTAGAAGGAAGGGAGACACAAGCTGTGTTGTAGGAAAAAACTGCCCGGAGCTATTCTATTTAGTTAGTCTTTGATAGGCTAAGTTGATGCTGGATGAAGGTCTTGGAATCCGAGACATAAAAGCTTTTTTTTTTTTTACTTAGGGCCACACTGGTACTGAATCCACATCTGTTTTCTCTTACGTAATTTCTGATAATGGATTTCTTCTTGCCTGATTCTTGGATGTTACGAATATGATTCTCAGATGATGGCTTAATGCTTATGCTTAACTGGTTAATAATTCTGGGATTGAATCTTTGTGCCCCTGAATGCTGAATGCCAGCTGTTACTACCATAGTAACCTGACTTGTGATGATGTTGCCTGTGGATTGCTGGGGTGAACAAAAGATGGAGCTATCTCCCTCTCCTGCTGTCCTAATTATTACGGCTGTGCACCCTTCAAAAGTGACTGAGAAGCACTTTACTCTTTGAATTGAGCACAGCCCTCTTTGCTATCCACTTAAGCAGCTTGATTCCCCCCCCCCCCAGATTTCTGTCTCAACCTAAAAAAATAGGTAGAGCTGTTTTAAGAAGTCCACTTAGGCCGAACACAACAGTCTCTTTGTTTCAGGTTTTGTGTGAAATGTCAAAGAGAGAGAGAGAGAGATTGAGAGAGACTGCTTCAATCTCTGCTCACATAAGAAACAACGCCTTTGTTCTGAATCATTTTTGTAGTACAAACAGCCTTACATCCCTCCCTAAGATTTTACATTCAGCTTCCTCATTTGCACAAGTATGATTCTTCTTTCCCCAATTTTAGGGCACAATCAGCTGCTAGAATCAGATCATTTTCTCAAGTGCACAAAGGTAGTGTGCAGTCTTTCCCAGTGAATTTTTATATGGAAGCTTGTATTATTTACAAGTTATTTCGCCTACGAGCACCCAATCTGAAAAGTGCAGCAGATTTGCTGATCTTTATATCACTTTGATTTTTAAGATCAGAAGGATCACAGGCTCTTTTATATAACTCCAAGCTGAAACAGCTTCTGATCTTCTAATCTAACTTGGAGACCTACTGCTACTGGGAACCAATGCCTGAAGCAGTGTCATGGTGTCATGCCACATAGTATTGCTGCTCTGAGGCAGGTACACATAGCCAAACATATAGAAAAAAAGGATGAAACTGAGTTGTGATACTGTCATGACACCCCTTGCCCTCCAGTGGATGTTGTTAATAGCTCAGTTCACATACATTGGTTGCAGCTTGTGAATGTCCAAGTGATAATGGTCACAAGTGCTTTTTGCCTTGGTGACATCAAGATTGACTTATTATCATACACTGTGTAGAACAGACATGTCAGACTCGCGACATCACATGATGTCGTGTGACGTATCGGAGCTTTTTCCCCATTGCCAGCAATGGGGTAGGTGCGGTTTCCTCATGACATGTCCGGCCCGTGAGCCGGCAGTTTGACACCCCTGGTGTAGAATATTTGATTATTCCATTTAATTCAAAAGTAAAATGTAAACTTCTTTATTCATGATGTTGTCTATATAAAACTTGCATTTACCAATTTCATTGATATCTAGTCTGTTTCATTAGAAGTCATCACTAAAACATAGTGGTTAGCAATTATTTCAGATGAATAGATAAGCCCATATTGGAAGAAACATTCCTTTGAAAATTGTGATTCCTGGATAATTAGGATTTCATAATCTGAGACGTTGATGAATTATCTCCTTCAAGGTCACTTGCTTTATCTTTCAGTTCATCATTGATAGCCTGATAATCCCATTGGGCTGTAGTTTGTGAAAGATGTAACACACAAACATGCACATGCAACCTCTAGTATAGGGGTCCCCAACCTGTGGGCCATGGCTCACTACTGGGCCATAGCCTATTCACCTGGTGGGTTGGCATGTGTGGGCACACATGTGTCCCACTCACATGAGGGGTAGGCACTGGTGCTCACAACCTTACTTGTGCCACAAGTGAAGCTGTGTGCATGCATGTGCGCACCTGCCACTCATACACGACCATCTCCTCTTTCCCCCTCCCCCTTGTGCCAGGCTGCCAACCCGGAATGATTGGAGAATGCTGCTCTACTATATTTTGTCAAATAATAAGGAGTATCAGTAAGCTCCCTTCCTATCAGAAAAACAAAATTCCAAACTTCATTTTTTAAAAATGTGACTATACAGTCTAATTAATAAAGAGAAAGGATACCGCTATGCCATCTGCTCATCATATCTTTAATAATAAGGGAAACAAATACACACATGCACACTGCAGTGAGCACATCTGCTGCCTACAGTTTAAACTTGAATTTTCTCTGGAAGTAACCATGATGCTCATCCACCTGTAATTCTATTGTTTCCATGTCTACACAGTTCAGCATTGATTTTTTGCATTTACTACGTATTAGACATATGCTTTGTATGTGGCTTTCTCATTCAAGCTGTATTTCACTGCCTTTTCAATTACAAAGGATGGGGTCTTTTATTTTAATGTCAGGCATATAATTAACAGGTGCTAAGAAGCTCTTTTCATATTCCATTGAAATACAGGGAAAATTTGCATGATGTCACTGCCTTTATATTGGTTTGCCTTCAAATTAGAAAAATGGGCTGATAAAAGCATAGCCAGACAGTTGGCAATAAACCAGTCTTGCTATAATTAAAGAAATAATGACTCTGAGAGGATGTGAATTACTTCAGTATTATGCAATCTCCAGTCAAGTACCTTTGTTTCAGAGGATCAGTATTTGGATTAACATCAGAGTACTCTGACATTCTGCTTTCTGTCCTTCTCTTGACTTCAAAAAACACAAATTTATGCAGTTCTTTGAAACTGCAGTGAATGAGACTGAGATGTGAATGCCTATGCTAACTACGGTATGTTTTTCAAGCGATATAGTTTCAAGCATAGTTTCAAATTCCTAAACAGGAATGTAACTAGTGTAGTTACATATAATAGAATTTAACTACTTTATGTAACTATAGTTCTCCAGCATGATTGGATGGAGAATCCACGGATGGGTTGTCTTAATCTATCTGCTCCAATCAGACTCCACCATCATGCTGAGAAAAGGCGTTCAGGTAAGACAATGCCCCTTCCATCCATAAAGTCACTTAATGGGTAATCTTAAACAGGGACTGAAGAGCATATGTGTCCTGCTGTAAGAAATATGAAATGATATATGTGGCGTGGAGATACCTATGCACAGGTACTGCTTTTTGATTCAGATTTAAATTTGCGTTCCAGTTCCAACAGAACCAATGAAGTTTTTTGGATGAGAAACAAAACATTTTCTTCTTCCTCCTCAAGGAAAAAACAGTCCAGTTGCCTTTTGAAGAAAAAAGCACTGTTGAATTCCAATTCCAAGTATAGCCATTTAAAGAAGGGTGTAAACTTTCCCTATTAGATGGCCTCTTTAATTTTCTGATGGATAAATGGCTCATTGTCAGTGGTTGCATGATTTTTTTTCAACAGATATAAGATGTGTCCTGAACCTACAAATGCAGGCTCAGGACATTGCAAGGTTCCCGGGCAATTGCAAAAGCTGCCCAGGACCAGACTGAGTGGCGCTGGCCTAGTGTGCATGCGCAAGGTGCGAAAGTGCCTAGGAATGTTGCCATTATGTCCGGGGTTTTCTCGTTGTTGGAGTTTTGACTAAATGCACAATAAAGAGCTGTTCACTAGAAATGTGTCTTCTTCATTCGCCATCGCTTCCAGGACTTAACATAAGCCATATAGCAGTTTGCTTTCATTTCCATCTATACTGTATGACTTCCATTTGTTGAAAACAAGCAGTAACTAACAGTCCTGCAAACTGATATCTGTTGAGTCCCAAAGAGTTGGAAGCCACTGAATGACTGAACAAGACAGTCTGGTGTTTGATTGCCCAATATCCAATCAAGAACTTTACCAATGAAATATATTTGGAGATGGGTAGGAGGATCCATTTCTCTGAGGAATGGTATTCTGTTCAGTATAATTCATATCACTGGATACTATCCACATCAAGAATTTCCTAAAAATAAAATAGACATGTGGCATGTCAA